AGCAGGAGCAGGAGCAGGAGCAGGGGCAGGAGCAGGAGCAGGAGCAGGAGCAGGAGTTGAAGGAGGAGGGGAAGGAGGAAGTGACTCGGGCACGCTCAAAGCCCTCTCCAAGATTTCCCCCCGCCCAAAGATATGACTATTGCGCTGCAGCGTCAGAGGTCTCGTGCTGCAGAGAGACTCTTCCCAGGATGGGCACCCCACTACAAGGGGTGGATCATCGGGGAGCTGCGCCCAGTCTCTCCCTTTGATGTCGAGCCTGCTGCCCACTCGAATGGTTCCGCCTTTAAGCCCACCGTTCTGGGGGATGGGGATCGTGTCGAGCTCAGTGGGCGGGGAGTGTGAGGGAGAGACGGAACGAGCAGCAGCTCGCAGCGATGTTTGTTCTCATCTCAGCTGAGGGGTGGAGGTTTGGGCCAGGCGGCTCGAGGAGTTGAAGGATTCACAGTGCAAACGTCAGAGGCCAGATCATATAGAGTTGGATTCAATTATATCAATTCGATCTTGATGCCAGCCAACGCAGAGTTGGGTCAAATTATACCAGGTTTGCTCCGAAGTGGCGACATCCTGCTACCCACTAGTGGTCACAGACCTTGGTCGGCCCGGGAAATAAGACATAGGATAGACGCGACGGCGTTCGCTCGCCCACGCCGGGGTAAGTGAAAAGGAAGATCAGCAGACGAGGCAACGGAGTAGGGGGATGATCGCCATCAGCGATATTGGAATACACCCTCCCTCCAAGCTCCCTCTCTTTAGTCCCCTACAAGGATTCATTCCCGCTGAGGGTAGCGCCCCGTTGGGAAACAGCCGTGTGAAAATCCTGAACCGTGCCAGAACGCCAGTCTCAGGACTTCAGCGCCACGAGTCAACCTGTCTGTTGCGCCTTGACGATCATGAGTTGGGCAAGAACGCCTGGGACTTCAACACCGCGAATCAACGTAGCTGTTGTGCCGTTACAGACCTGAATCGCTCCAGAACGCAATTTCTGATGCGTTACCATGGGGCAAAGTGAAAATCTTGCATCGTTCTAGCGCGGCGCAACAGCGAGAGCCACTTTTTTGAAAAACGAGCCGCCCCCAAATCCGTGAAGCCCTTACGTACACATGTTCAGAACAAGTGTGCATGGCGGTAGTGCGAGAGCCAATGTTTGAATACGAATCGCCCTGAATCCTTGTAATTTTTGCGATTGAGTAAAATGTGCGCGGTGCTCAGGCGAGAGCCGCATTTAGAAAACGAGCCGCCTTCAACCCATGACACACTTGCAGATACTTAAAACACATGTGCGCGGCGCTAAGGCGAGAGCCACAGTTCGAACACGACTTGCCCTCTATCGGTGAAACTCCTGCAAGGCGAGAGCCTCATTTTGGAAGCCTTCCGCTCTCCATCGTCTGTGAAATGGTTGCCAGTGTTTCAGCTTGACGCTTACACCGGGTAAGGAAGTCCCAGGCGAACCGCTTGGTCCGCCTTTCCGATTTGTTGCAGGGTCTTACAGGGAGAAGGTATATCCGTTGCCTGTCGCCCTATCCCGACACCGTCCTTGGGTTGTGGGTTAGAGGCTTCTTGTACTTCCGTTTTGATGTAGTGCGAGGCCTCCCGGATGCCCTCTGGAGGCAGTTTTGAGGCATCGTCTGCTCCGTTTCGGGGCCTCTTTGGGTCTCTTTGTGGGCCTCTAGGGGGCCTCGGTGGGCCTCTAGGGGTCCTCTTGGACTCTCTAGGGGGCCTCTTGAGACCTCGGATGGGATGCAAGAGGAGGAAGAGGCGAGAGGATGATATAACAGGGAGGAGGAGGGTGAAGAGGAGGAAGACGAGAAGCAGGATGAGGAACATCACTGTATTCAGAGGGCGGGGAGAGGAGGAATTATACAAATGCTGAGGGCTGGAGGGATGGCACAGACGATGGGGGAGGGAGACAGTGACTGGGAGAGATATGAGGGAGGATACGGAGGCGGCGCGAGGAAATTTGAGAGGGCAATGAGGTGGGAGGAGGAGAAGAAGGAGGAGGAGGAGGAGGAGGGAGGAGGAGGAGGACGAACACATCTTGGAAGAAGGGGGCCATGTGCCTCTCAGGAGGGCTTTCAGAGCCTTCTTCAGAGCTGGCCACGAGGCCTTTTCAGTGCCCTCACAAAAGCTTTACATGATTCCACCCAGGTCATCTCAAGAGCATCGCTTCTGTGGAGGCCATTGAAAGCCTCTGGGGAGGTCTCACGGGCGTCTCAGGAGTATCTCGGGAGTCCTCTTCGGTTTTCCCCGATAGCCTCTGTTGAGGCCCCTCGGAGCCTCAGGGGAAGCTCTCAAGATGATAATGAAGGTACTGATGAGGAGGATGGGAAACAAGAGGAGGAGGAGGAGGAGGAGGAGGAGGAGGAGGAGGAGGAGGAGGAGGAGGAGGAGGAGCCACACACCAGAGGGAGTGAGGAGGGACGAGAGAGATGAAGCGACGGCGCGACAGGAGGAGAACGACAGGGCGGATGTGAGAGGAGGAAGGGAGGAGGATGAGGAGAAGGAGGAGAAGGAGGAGGAGTAAGAGGAGGATAAGGAGGAGGATACGGGGACTGACACGCAGGAGGAAAGAAATGATAATGAGCATGGGATGGAGGGGTCGGAGGGGGACGAATCTGATACTCATTGGGGGAGATTTGGGCGACTGACCACGACTATGAGCGACGAGCATGCGGGATGACAATAGAACGGAAGCTACACAATGAACGAGAGAGTATACGGTCGGAGACAGGGGATGCGACGAGGGGGGAGAAAGGGAGAGGATGATGAGGAGGAGGCGGCGGCTGTTTGGACATCGAGAGAGAGGACGAGAATGAGAGGAGGAGGAACAGGAGGGGGAGAACCATTAGGAGAAGGAGGAGGAGGAGGAAGGGACGGAGGAGGAGTAGGAGGAGCAGGCGTTCTGCCAGGGAGATGATGATGATGATGATGATGATGATGATGATGATGATGATGATGATGATGATGATGATGATGATGATGATGATGATGATGATGATGATGATGATGATGATGATGATGCTGATGCTGATGATGATGCTGATGATGATGATGATGATGATGATGATGATGATGCTGATGCTGATGCTGATGATGATGATGATGATGATGATGATGATGATGATGGTGATGGTGATGGTGATGGTGATGATGATGATGATGCATATGTTGATGTTGATGTTGATGTTGATGATGTTGATGTTTATGATGATGCTGATGATGGTGATGATGATGATGATGATGATGATGATGATGATGGTGATGATGATGATGATGATGATGAGGAGGAGGAGGAGGAGGAGGAGGAGGAGGAGGAGGAGGATGAGGAGGAGGAGGGGGCGGAGGGCGAACAGAGGAGGAGTGTAATAAGCATGATAAGGAACGAACCTGATAATTTCGAGGAGGAGCAGGGGAAGGGTGAGGAGGAGGAGGGGGGGAGAGCGAAAGAGAGTTGGAAAATAGGAGGATTATGGATACGAGGAAGAGGATGAGGAACCTGAGGAACGCCCACGGCACTATTGCACTCTTGCACGCCACTGCTTCGCATGCAAAGTTCTGAGGAGAGAGGAAGGAAACATACATTAGTGCGATGAAGCAGAATAAGAAGAGGAGAAGGAAGAAGAGAAGAGAGATGGCTGTGGTGATGGAGGAGGGAAGGGTGATAACCAGAGGGGCACCGCACATGATACCACACTCCTTCCTCACACACGTAGATCTACAGGAGCAGTCGAACGTTGACGTTTCTGGTTGTTTGCAGATTTTGGACTCGTGCAGTGCATACCTCGCCGCGGATGGAACTACCTCGGACTCCTTGTCTGAGGCCGCTCCAGGATAGAATTTCGCGAGGATTGCCTCGCCAGGGATACGCGAAGTATCCACGTGCACCAATCCTGTCCAGGCCAGAGCTCAGAATCGGGTTTAAGTTCAGCCTGGCCATGTCTGGATGGCGCACACGGCGTACGCATCGATCCTGGGCCCACGGAGGAGGGGCCTGGCCATGATCGGTGCAGGTGTCCGACTGCCGGCTTGCGAATCACGGCCGGAGCTCCCGACCCCTTCTTTGCGCGGGGCCTCCCGAGCCGGATCGACCCATGAGGGCCCTGTCTGGAGCGGGGCTGCACAGCTGGTCACGGTCTGCCAACGACGCCCAGATGTCACGGTGCGCCCGGTACCTTCCCCGTGGCGCACGCCATCTTCGCTCGACCTGGACGTCAGTGGGGCTGAGCACTCCGGCCGACGCCAGGAATCAGCATCGGTTGACCGATCCCCATCACCACGGGGACATGATCTTATCGGCCCCGCCAGCCCACCCCCACAGGTTGGGATCGGCTCCGCGGAGGAAGAAGGGAACAGCACATGTGTTCCTGCCCTGGGGGGGGCAAGCCGGCCAGTGGGGCCAAGAGAAGAGTCATGCCAGTGGGGACGGGGATCGCTGAAACGACGCGCAGGGAAACGCTTCCGTCGAGGCTTGCGGCTCAAACGTTTGCATCACCACTATCTTCCTCCTCTCCTCGTTCTCCGTGTTCGTCGTCAAGTGACCTTGAGGGAGTAGCCGGTTAGCCCCGGCGCTGTGTATTGCAGGCAGATGCCCGTCATGCTGCGTATTGCGGGCATTGTGGTAAGAGCATGCTAGTCGTCTGGCCTGTACACGCCGGTCGTTGAAAGTATTTTTTTGGGATTCCCAGATCCCAATCTATTTCAAGCGCCTTCCTACTTCAAGAATTGGCATGCTTTTCCTGTTTTTTCGCTGGGAGGACCTGGACCCAATCCACTGCATCCGCCTTCCTACTTCATGTTTCTACCTACTTCTTCCGACCGACGTGTATTGTCAGAGGTACTGATTGTGGCCCTGCTGTTCTTCCTTGCTGGGCTTGCGCATCGGGCGGCTACTGGTCATGTGCGGCCAGGAAGCCCCCGACCTTTGTCATTGTACGCTCCCGTCGAAGCACGAGTCCCGGGCGTCCGCAGCCGCAGCGCGCGGGGCCGCGCTGCGCCCCGGGCAGGACGCCGCTCGCGCCGCCGGTGCTGCGCGGTGGGGCGCGGCGGGTCGTGGCGGCGGCGCCGCCCCGGTGGCTGGTCGCGCAGAGGCGGCGTGCGGGGCGGGGCGGCTGGGTGCTGCTGCTGATTGCTGCTCCCGCCAGTTTCTCGCTGCAGACATGGTCGGTCAGTGTCGTGGAGCCGAACCCCCATCCCCATCCTCATCCCCTTCGAGACCCCCACCAACTTGCCACCCCAGTTGGGGATGCACGCCTTGAAGCCCGAAGGAAACGGCCTGTATCCGCATCTAGGGTGGTAAATCGGCCAGTGGAGCCCAGGCCACGCCGCTGGGGATGGGGGTCGGATAAACGATGATCGGTCGGGGGCGGCAAGGGGGGTGATGACGAGGGGGGGGGGGGATATCATGGCGGAGGCCATGACATCTCCCCAGGTTTCATGGTACCCCTTCTTATTTCACTACGTCCATGCCCCCCCCCCCCTCTGGGCGGCGCACATGCCGCTGGCCATGATTGGCGCCCCCCCCCTCTTTGACGCCCCCCTCTTGGCAGCCCCCAAAGTTTTGCGTTGCAGACATTGGCGTGATGGCCGTTGCGTCGAAGCTCCCGCCACCGCCAGCGTCCCTGCTCCTACTCCTGTGCCTTCCAGTAACTGGTTGGAGAGGAGTGGGGGGGGATGGAGGATGAGGAGGCGGATGATGAGCTGCAGGCGGAAGAGTAGGAGGGCAACGGCAATGATGACGGCGAGGGGTGGGAAGGAGGGGTGATGTTTGGGGGAGGCCCCTTCCTGCTCCCAATCCTGGTCTTCCTTCTCGTTCCTCTCCCTCCGCTTCCTGCATCTACACCCGCCGCTCCTCCTCCCCCTCCTCCTCCACGGGTTCCCTCTGCGTCCTTTTCGTCCACCTTATCCCCGCCTTCACCCCATCCCCTGTCCTGATGTTAATGATGCGAATGGTGCTAATGATGCTGCTGATGATGATGGTGATGATGATGATGGTTGAGGTGATGGTGATGGTGATGAAGATGATGCTGATGGTGGCGGTGGTGATGTTAATGACGATGATGATGCTGATGAGGATATTGATCAGGATGTGGACGAGGATTGATGTGGGGATAAGGCTGTGGATGCGGATGAGTATGGTGGAAATGGTGATGGTGAGGATGAGTCTGAGGATGATGGTGATGATGCTGCTGATGATGTTGCTGATGTTGTACATGCAGACGAGGATGCGGATGACATTGGTGATGGTGATTGTGATTGTGTTGTTGGTGGCGATGGTGATGGTGAGGGAGACGGTGAGGAGGATGAGGAGGATGAGGATGAGGATGGATGAGGAGTATGACGACAATGATAATGATGATGGTGATGCTGATGAGGATGGTGATGACAATGATGCTGATGATGATGATGATGTTGATGCTGATAGTGATGCTGATGATGATGACGCTGCTGCTGATAATGAAGATTCGGAGCAGGATCTGGATCTGGATCCGTATGAGGATGAGGATGAGGATGCGGAGTGGTGTTCATGGTGAAGGTGGCGGTGATGGTCATGAGGATGAGCATGACTTTGATGATGCCGATTATGATGTTGATGATGATACACGTGTTCGTGATGATAATGATGATGGAGGTGATCTTGTTGATGATGATGACGATGTCGATGATCAAGAGAAGATGCTTATAATGGTGATGGTAATGATGATGATGATGATGATGATGATGATGATGATGATGATGATGGCAAAGAGAATAATGAGGATCATGATCAGGATCAGGGCCATGATCAGCACGAGGATGACGAATAGGATGATGATGAAGATGCGTACAAGGATGGTTGTGATGAAGACGGTGAGAATGAGGATGCGAGTGAGGATGAGGATGAGGGTAATGGTGAGGGTGAGGATGAGGATGAGGGTGAGGTTGGGGATGATGAGGAGGATGAGGAAGATGAGGAGGATGAGGGGGGGGATGATGAGGAGGGTGGTGATTGTGGTTGTGGTTGTGGATGGAAGTGGTGGTGATCAGGTGGCAGAGGAAACACAGGAGGAAGAGGCGCAGGAGGAGGGCGAGAGGAGGGAGGAGGAGGGAGGAGGCAGAGGAAACAGAAGACGATATTCATATGCGCCAGACTTGGACGAGGAGGAGTATTAGGGGGGAGGAGGAGGATCAGTTGAGATCTGGGTAGGCGATAGGAAGGGAGAGGAGCTGGAAACATGAAGGCGATGAGGATGATGATGAGGAGACTCTGGAGACCCTGCCTGATCGGGTAACGATCTGAGTACCACCCCTAACGCCACCCTTGAACTTCTCCGGGCACGAGAAGGGAACAGCCGAACAGGTTGTCGTTGTTACGGGGTGAGCGACAGAGTTTGAACAATGTGCGTGCGCAGGCACATGCTACAGCGACATCCACCTGATGTTTTAGATACGCGGTTGATTTCTCATCACAGCCAGACTAACCAACAATGGTGGTGTTCGCCGACACGACGTTGATGCGCCCAAGTGGTAGGCGGGTGGGTTAGTGCACTACCAGGCTCCCCCCCCATTGTCCCCACCGCTTGGAAATCATGAGGCAATTGCAATGAATCGGTGACATATCCGAGGATTGCCCGCCCAATTGCCGCCCATCTCTTGCCGGTCGAACACTGTGTCTGAGTGAAAAACGTTCAGGGGGAATCGCAACACAGAGCCGTGTAAACAGCATGTGCGCACCAACCATAAAAACGAAACATACTGCAAACTCCACCACGTGCAATTTTAAACCCACGATTGGAGCGCACCTGAAGACACCACGGCAAGGAGGGAACTGCACCACTTGCCAAATTTAAATAGAGCAGCGTATGAGCTCCCAGCCGAACCATGTCCGCCGAAGGTTTTAAGTATATTCGCCAACAGGAAAATCAGGCACCCGACAGCGCGCTTCCGCGGAATGCCAGCCCTGATGCCCCCCCCCCAAAACGACACGTAGAGGCGAAAGACTCGATTCACAGCGCCATCTCGACAAACAAGAACATATGCTCACGGAGGCGCTTGCCAAGGCTAGGATACCTCGCAGGCAGGCGGTGCAGGCGCCCCTTCCAGGAGGTCAGCGTGGCGTCTCCCGCGAAGCAGGGAAGGGCACGCGATAATTTTGGCGACGGCAAGCCCGACCTGATCGAGCAACACTAGAAATATTAAATATTCAGGGGCATTCGGGGGCTCGAGGAGAGCGACCAGGGAGAGCTCGACAACCTCGCCAACGACGAGAGCGAGGTCAAGACGGCCAAAGACAACTTGGCGAGCCGCTCGGCCCATATGGCCAAGTGAAACAAGGAGGCCTCGGCGATCCAGAAGGCCGCCCGCGAAAGGCTTCAGAAGAGTCGGGAGGTGAGCGACGACGGCGGCGCCGTCGGCGGCGGCGTCGCCAGCGGCTGGCCAGGCCGCCCCCGCCCGGTTTGCCAGGCCGTCGGTCGCCGAGATCTCGACAGAAGCCGCGCGGATTTCGCAGGCCAAGGCGGCAGCAGCGCTGGCGAATGCATCGTCACAATATGTGGGCGCAGGCCTTGGCGAGGCCGCGGCCCAGCCAGTCCGCGCAGGGCGCGCGCTGGCCCAGCTGCTGGTTTTTCGTCGTCTTCGGCGTGGGGCGCGTCGGGAGCGGCGCAGGCGCCTGCGCCTTCGCCGGATTGCTCCGGCGAGGGGAACGGTCATTCAGAGGCCGTCTTTTTTGGGCTGTGATTGTCCATGGGCGTGCACTCCGAGGATTTCCCAGCGATGACATTCGGAGGTCTGCCCGCTCGGGGTCATGCCCAGCTGTCGCGGATGGTTGCTGGAGATATCAACATTGGAATTGACGGGGCGCGGTGGTCCAAGGTTCTTCGGAAAATACATGCGCGCGCCATCGCAGTCTACCAATGCGGGCGGCACTGGCGATTCTCGCATCGATATCGCAAGGCGCCACTCGTTCGCCATTCGCTCGGGAGGTCGTTGCTTTTCAGGACGCGCCGCGGGCGCCGCGCTGCGGTTTGGCCATCGCATCGCGCGGCGCGGGGCAGAAGTTGATCGCGCGAGTAATGCCTTCGGCCCCCGCAGCTTACCAGGCCGTCGGCGCCAGCGGCTGCCGATTCGAAGTCGAGCGTTGCCGGGGCAAGAGAAGCGGGCAAGTTGCTGCGAGTCGCGATCAAAAGCGCAGAGTTTGCGCCGAGCTTTTCCCGACCGTTTCAAGACTCGGCCGAGCGAAGGGGAGGGGTGGCCCAACGCGCAGACGGGTGTCCAGTTTCCAGCGCCCTCCGCGCTCGCCGACTCAGAGGAGGATGGCGTTTTGAGTTTCGAATTTCTTGTGGATGCAAGCGTCGCTTGGGATGATATTGGTTTTTGTGCCGACGAAAGCTGCCATTCCCGGCGGGATCTCAGGGGGTCTTCCTTGACAGTATTTGTCACCCCGGGATGTCCGAGATATTTTGGGCGTGCGATTTGGCTCAGCGAGCAGCGGGGCCACGCCGGCGCGCGAGGTCTGACCTAGCCGACATCGTCGCCGACGTAGTAGTTGACCTCAAGAAATGTTTGGTGGGCGCTGCTTCCAAGAGCGCGGCTGCGTTATCGACGCATTCGGATGCCAAGCTAGTTGCAGGGTGCTCAAGAGTAGAGGTATTTCCATGCCAGCTGCACATCAGTCCTCGCATCTTGGGGCAGACGCTCGCAGCGGAGCGCGCCAACCCGAGCCGCGGCGCGCGGGCGAGCGGCCAAGGCGGGTCGGCAGCATTCGAGGCTGAGAAGGTTTGCAGCGGCGCCCAGCAGGCATCTTACAGCGCGCGTTGAGCGCGCGGGGCCTCATGCAGCTGCGTCGCGCGGTCATCGCATTCGCGGGGAGGTCGGGTGCTAGGCTGTCTTGCACCGCCGGCGGATGGGGGCAGCGCGTGGGGCAGTTCGGAGAGACAGACGCGTCGCGTCTGCCATCGGTCTTCGAGCGCCGCAGGCCGACCCAGGCCTGGCGCTTCCTAAGCAGCGTTTGACGCCGCAGTAGTCGCAGTGGAATTTGCCGCATCTGGGGCCAGGTTGCCGAGCAGATAAAAGCATCTCCCTCGGCGCAGAGGACGCGGCGCACACGCGGGCC